CACAGAGAGCACAGAGAACACAGAGAGCACAGAGAACACAATACTCAACATAACAGCCTTCAGAACGAGATGTTAGGAGACGGAGAGAGTAAAGGCACAGAGATACAGATGCAGGATATGACAGCAGATGAGAGCATCGCTGCAGACTCACAGGTTCAGGCATCACATCTGAATATCGTTTCACAGTTTGCATTAAAGCGACCGCAGACTCTTCATCCTGATGCTGCTGTTTCAGACTCACACATGATGAAGAGACGAACATGAAACCTTTAATCAGAGTCCTCATGTGAAGAAGTGAGACCTCTGCAGCTGCACCTGGACCATTAGCAGAACGCACCTGAACTGTTGCTGGTACAGATGCATTGTGGGCAATGTAGGCATCAGGTTCTGAGCAGGGAAGAAGACGATGTCTCTGGTTTCTGCCGCTTTGATACTCAGGGGAATACATATTCATAATTAAATGAGAAACAAGTAAAGTTTAAATTAATAAAGATATCATTTGTTATTTATCAAGTTTAACCCTAAAAACATCAACAAAACAACCCGACATCTGTCATCATGATCGGTGCACAGAAGTTTACAGACAAAGACACAAAGACAGACGTATCACATGACATCACCAAACATCTGTAACGTCAGCAGAAGCCTGTGAGTCCATGTAGAACCAAGGAGCTGATTGAGTAACAAGGTTTCCTGGGGCTTTAACACATGGACCCTCCAGCTCCTGGTACTGGAGCTGATGCGTATCATGGACCCTCCAGCTCCTGGTACTGGAGCTGATGCGTATCATGGACCCTCCAGCTCCTGGTACTGGACCTGATGTGTATCATGGACCCTGACTTCTCTCTGCTGCAGGTCTGGACCTGTGTCTGGAGTCGGACCACGGCTGTGAGCACATCTGTGAGAGCACCCCGGGCTCCTTCCACTGCCGGTGTCTGCCCGGATACTCTCTGAATGACGACGGGAAAACATGTGCAGGTAACAAAAGAAGGTCTCACACAGGAAGTGAGACTCGGGGCGACTGTGGCTAAGTGGATAGCAGGGCCGTCCTTCAATCAGAGGGTCGGTGGTTCGATCCCCGGCTCTGGCTCTGCTAGTCGCATGTCGATGTGTCCTTGAGCAAGACACTTAACCCCAAATTGCTCCTGTAGTTGTGCCTACGGTGTAGAAATGTGATAGACTGAATTGTAAGTCGCTTTGGATAAAAGCGTCTGCTAAATGACTGTAATGTAATGTAATGTAAAAAGCTCCTCAGACAGCTGGGCGACAAGAAACACAGTCCAACACACTTCAGATATTCTAAACTCATCAGAGGGGTAGAAGAACACGTTCAGATGTCTTCAGCTGGTGTCAAACATCAAACACAGACGTGACTTCAGACATCAGAAACACAGACTAGGAGACGAGGGAACAGGAAGTTTAAAACATGCCGACTCACTTCTGGGCTTGAGGACTCAATCCTGCAGAACTCAATGAGACTCCAGGAGGAGGACTCTCTGGACTGGTGCCAGTATACATGTGACAGGACACACTCAATAATTCATGTGTGTGTTTCAGCCATTGACCTGTGTGCTGAGGAGAAACACGGCTGTGAACAGATCTGCGTCAGCTCACCTGGTTCCTTCACCTGCGACTGCAACAAAGGATTCAAACTGAATGAGGACAAGAAGACCTGCACAAGTTAGTCTCACACACACAGCTCCTGGCTTCATGTTAGAAATGTGTTTGGCTTGAATTCATCTTCATCTGAGCTGAATTGGATTCAGAGCTTCACAAGCTGCTGACTCATGAAGCTCATTGTTTGCACCACGTTCCTCCTGTTTGTCTCAATAACAGAAGTCCCTTTATGTTCCTTCAGCTTGAACTCATTCAAACAGTAACACATGTGCATTAAGATGAAATTCTCATTCTTAAACCTTAAAGATTTCCGTGCAGTCAGAACGTGTCATGCAGCTCTAACAGGACTCGTGACGTATTGTGCTGACGTTGACTTGTTGAAGTTCAGTGTTATTGATGGAGAGACAGACGGAACGTGGTCGTGATCCCGCTGCTCGCTGCGCTGCTCACGGCCTCGCTGCTTCTTTCCTCCCTCAGTGATCGAGTACTGTTCGTTCGGGAACCACAGTTGTGATCACGAGTGTGCGAGTGTGCTCAACGGCTATCACTGCCGCTGTCATCGTGGATACAGGCTGCTGGACGACGGCAGGAGCTGCCAGGGTGAGTAGACACACGAGAAACTACAGAGCTCGCTGTTAATGACACAGATTCAAACACACGGCGTCCAGCTGAGGATCACATTTCATGAGGAGGAGAGCTGCATGAGTTCACCTTCCACAGACAGGAACACGGCTTCACCGGCTCATTCAGAGATCATCTCAGAGCCCTCGAGGGAGAATCCACCGGCTACATCACGACTTTACTGAGACTTTCAACACACCCCCGACTTATGGGAAACATGTTAGCTGGTAGTGTTTCTATCTCTGGCTGCTTTTTTTAAATGTAGATTTAAAACCATGTGTTCTTGCCTTCTAGATCAACACTCAACCTGCAGCTATAATGCAAGAAAATATGTCTGAGTGTGAAGAAATAAGCAGAGACATGTGGTTCATTATTCAGTTCAGACCAGGAGACAACCTCCGGTTCAAAGCTTCATGTGTTAAAGCTGCATTCTCTCTAGTGTCCACCAGGGGGCGACTCCTCTGGTTGTATAGAAGTCTATGAGAAAATGACTCTACTTCTCTCTTGATTTATTACCTCAGTAAACATTGTAAACATGAGTTTATGGTCTCAATCTCTAGTTTCAAGTCTTCTTCAATACAGCATGATGTTCATTTAGTACATTATGGTCCATTTAGAGTCAAACAGACCATAAGCAGGGGATGCTTTAGGGCGGGGCTACACAGTGATTGACAGGTCTCTACCAGAGACGTATACGTCGTCTCTACGTCGCTCCTCCTCAGTCCAGATATGGTCACTTCCTGTTCACTGGTTGATAAAGCAACAAGATGGCGACGGCTGTAATCTTTATCTGCTGAGTACTGAACCCTGAACCTCTACTGGAGGCCTCATCCAGTTCAGACAAAGAACACGAGCAGTCCCACTCACTTCTACCAGATCAATACTGGATCAATCCTGCACACATTCACACACACCTCTCTCGGTTACACAGCGACGTCTGCAGTCTGCACTGTTCACAACCGCTCGATGAATAATAAGAGAAGTAAAGAAGTGAAGGAACACGTTGTTCTTCACCTGCAACAGAAACAAAAGACTAAACCTCACGAAGAGGTTATAAACCAGATCAATTATCATTGTGATCTGGTTCCTCAGAGATTTATACTTATTATTATAAAGGAATCCAACTAAATGAAAGAAAATACCTTCCTGTTCACTGGTTGATAAAGAAACAAGATGGCGACAGAGAAAATGCTGAACTTGAGGCTTCAAAACATCCACAAACCAACGAGAGACGTCCACTTCTTATATTCATAATTTAATCTCAAATATTCAGCAACAGACGTCAGAGCGTTCGTTTGTTTTAGCTCACATGAAGTGACAATATGAATATTTTCCATTTAAAAGGCAATAATGAACATAAACATAAGCTCTTTTCTTCTTCCTCCTCCTCCTCTTCCTCTTCCTCCTCCTCTTCCTCCTCTTCCTCCGCCTCTTCCTCCTCCTCTTCCTCCTCTTCCTCTTCCTCTTCCTCCTCTTCCTCTTCGTCCTCTTCCTCCTTCTCCTCTTCCTCCTCTTCCTCCTGTTCCTCTTCCTCCTCCTCCTCTAGGTGGTGGACTCTCTGGACGTGTCGGCTCACGGTACCAGGGTGGGTCTGGTCCAGTACTCCAGCCGGGTCCGGACAGAGTTCCCTCTCAACATGTACCACAGCGCTGACGAGATCAAAGCTGCCGTGATGAAGGTGAAGCTGGTTTTAAATGAAGTGTTCAGCATTTAAATCTTTCAAAACATTCGGTTTAGAGACCGGAGGAGACTCTCCGACAGTCGGATCCTTTTAAAGGAGGAAACAGTGTAAATCTTATTGATAAGATGGATCCTGGAGGAGCACATTGCTATCTGTTGCTGTCCTCTGTAGGTGGACTACATGGAGAAAGGCACCATGACGGGTCTGGCCCTGAAACACATGCTGGAGACCAGCTTCTCAGAGGCCGAGGGCGCTCGACCCGCCGGCCGCAACATCCCCCGAATCGGACTGGTGTTCACGGACGGACGCTCGCAGGACGACATCACGGAGTTCGCCAAGAAGGCCAAAGAAGCCGGTGAGACTCGGGACCAGGTCTACAGTCTGTCTCATGCAGATCCCCAGTTACAGGTGTGTGTGTCTGTGTGTGTGCGCGGTTTGCAGGTATCACCATGCACGCGGTGGGTGTTGGGAAAGCTGTGGAGGACGAGCTTCGTGAGATTGCGTCGGAGCCTGTGGAGAAACATTTCTACTACACCACCGACTTCACTGCCATCAGCACCATCGCTGAGAACCTCAAACTCAACGTGTGCCCAGGTACCAGACTCAGGACGGGACCACTTTACCTTTCATTTAGGTTAGATCAGGTACCAGACTCAGGACGGGACCACTTTACCTTTCATTTAGGTTAGATCAGGTACCAGACTCAGGACGGGACCACTTTACCTTTCACTTAGGTTAGATCAGGTACCAGACTCAGGACGGGACCACTTTACCTTTCACTTAGTTTAGATCAGGTACCAGACTCAGGACGGGACCACTTTACCTTTCATTTAGGTTAGATCAGGTACCAGACTCAGGACGGGACTACTTAGATGTATACTTTAAGTTATACTATTATACTATAAGTTCAAGTTCTTTTAAACTTCAACATGTTTGTTTCTAGTGTCGTAAAAATGTGACTATTGAGAAGAACCTCATACGAACCTCTAAACATCTGTTTGACTGCAGTAGGAAGTCATTTCCACAGTTTAGCACCAAATTATTAATGTAAAGAATTTGACTTTACTCCACTGATGAGCATGCTGTATAATTACTTAAATATATATTTACTGTATATGATGGGTGAAGATACTGGTCAGTGGGCAGATAAAGATGTTATGGAGGCTTGTTCAACAAAAATAAAATCAAAAACTCACATGTGACACCAGTCATGATGTCATTAATTCATGATGTCATGATGTCATGATGTCCTGCTCTTTGGCTCCATCTGCTGACAAAAGTACAGCAGTAACTAAATATCCTAGAGAGAATAAATGAAGGATCAAACATAAACACATGTAGAAAGGTTGTAACTCAGAGGGTTAACTTGTTGTTTTGACAGTTTTGAGTCGGTCCAAGTTCAAACTGCAGCACTGCATCGTGTCACATGATGAACTAACACCTGCACCTGAAAGACATGATGTGTTGATGTGTTGATGTGTTCCTGCAGAGGAGAGTCAGGGAGAGATCGAGGTGAAGGACCCGTGTGCCTGTGAGAGTCTGGTGGAGTTCCAGCAGGCCACCATGAGCAACCTGGAGCAGCTCACCAACAAACATATCCTTTTAAACAAACGCCTCCAAACACTAATAAGCTCATATCATCTGGAGGCCTTGCTGACAGACCAACACCCGGTTTATGATCTGGATCTGAGGTGAGAGACAGGAAGGAAGTTCCTCTGTAGCTTCCTCTCGATGAGTTACACACAGAGAATATGAGACGTTAAAGGAACAGTGTAACATTTAGGAGGATCTATCTGAAGAGATGAAGTGTCATATGAGTGAGTATGTTTCCTTTAGTGTATAATGACCTGAAGCTAAGAATCATACGTGCACCCGTTCATACTCAGAGAAACATAAAACGCCCCCACGCCTCTCTGTCTCTGGTTTTAACAGGAGTTCCCTGAACGCCTCCAGTTTGTAAAGTTCATTTGTGTTGATTCATTTAAACTGTGCTACTAAGTGTTAGCTAGCGTACAGCTCATGGTGTGCTAAGCTAATGTTAGCACTCAGGATGAAGCATTACTGCACATATGAAACATCTTCCTTAATCGAGGGTCTACTGTCGGGGATGACGGCTCGTCTGGAGCAGCTGGAGAACCAGCTTCTCTCCAGGAAGTGATCCGATCTTCATCGCAGCGAGTGAACGAGACGTCACAGAGGAAGAGGAACAGAGTGAGGAAGAGGAGGGGCCCGTCAGAAACCTTTGTGGCCTTCAGTCGGTCCTCGTGAGGAAGACCTTCATCTGAGCAACAACATCACGTCAAACTAAAGCTTTCATAAAACATCAAACAAGACTTCATTATCGACATTTATTATAAATCCAAGAGATCGTAGAACTGGTGTCATTGTAACGCATGTAATAACAGTCACACTGTGATCTATGTACTGTAGATGTTGTTATTAGATATCATCTCACTCTGTTCATACTTGATCTCTTCTGTCGTTTCATGTCATGTATTTATAGCAGATTCTTTGTCTGCTTTTCTACACTAGAATAAAAGTACAAAGTGTCGTTACCACTCCTAATATTATATATAAATTAATATAATAAGACAAGAAGGGAAGTTCAGATGTTTATCACCACTGAGCTAATCACTATGGTGCTGAACACGTCCTTCATCATCATCATCATCACCTGAGCAGCCTGTCATCGTCCGCTCACATCAGACTGCAGGAAATATGAATCATTTGGTTTCTCTCTTGTAGTTTTGTAAAAACAGAACAAAATGTATACTTCTTTGTATTTTCTGTATGTTTTTGTATATTTTATAACAGCTGTACCTTTTTGTATTTTTCTGATCAATCTCTGTATTACAGCACAGACGGCAATAAAAGAGTCAACTTTTTACTTGTGAGTGATGTTTTGTTTTGTGTCCTCAGTTATGAGAGAATATGAATAATCAAACACTAACAGATCTGTTCAATATTTTCAAGAGGCTTCCTGGAAAGAACAACCTAACTTGGTACAAAGCTCCATTTAACCCAAAGTAAATATGAATCCATCATTCCTTCATTATCGGAAATATTTTCTATAAACGTTGAATTGTGTGTTTGTAATAAATAACAATGTAATAATAACTCTCTCGTGTCGTTTGTCCATTAATTGGAAATGTACCAATTAAAGCACGTCTCTACATTCCCTATAATTAGTACCAAATTACAGAACTCATTTTTGAAAATGTAAGTATTATTACTTGGCTCATATTTCTGGTCTGCAGAAGATCTGAAATCACCCAGAGCTTCAAACCCCTTGTCCCCTCAAAGCTTCATCTCTCGGCTCATCGATCAGCTCATTGATTGGCTGAAGTCCAACAAGCCCCTCCTTGGCTCTTGACTTGTTGACACCTCTAACACCTCACGGAGCTACTCTCCAACCCCGCTTGGCTCTTGGGCTATTGTTCTTCTTCAACACCTCAAGCAGACACTTTCCCCAACCCCCGCTCCAGCACATTCCTCAAACCTGATCACACAGACACTCAAACACACTATTGGTTCAAACTCCTACAAGTAAATACGCTGTAACATATAATATCCATAATTAGGAGCTTCAAAACCTAAATTTCTCACAGCGCTGGACTTCAAAAGTCACTGCACCTCACAAGGATTGACCACACAACCTCACGTACTCTGTCCAGTTGTTTATCACTCTGAGCTATTTCATCTTATAGCAATGCTATTTTCTTCGACCTTCTGATCCTCCACATGGGGCATTGGACCATTGCATCTACTGTAAGTTTTTTTACCTGCAGCTGCTTTTTGGCTTCATCATTGGTGTGGCAGAGACCACGTACATCAACTATAGGCTTGAACATTTTAAAGTAGGATGTTTTAGTTCCTTTGTCACTTCTGATCTAAACATCTTTTTACAATCAAACTCATGCGGATTTACCAGTCTCCTGGGTGGCTCGGATTGGATCTCACCTTTCATAGAATTTATATGTTTGTTTTGTTATTAGTAGTGTGATTCGGTTTATGACGGTTTGTATCTGTTTTTATGTTTCTTGGATAATAAATCCATTTGATTTTGACTTAAACCTGCTGTTGTGTTTTGGAGGCGATTGAGAGCACATGGCTGCAGGAAGGAAGGGGGGCGATTTCTCCAAAAGTTATGGCCTAACAAATTTATATAAAATATATATATATATATACGTATATATGACATTACAAAATAATTCTGTTCTATTCTATCAGTAATAAACATATTGTTTACCGTCTCTTTCACAGAGGTTTGTTTGACCTGAATCTTTGATTCCAACCTGTCTAATCATCCTACCGCTTGTGTGTCTCGATCAATCAGAAGGCTTATCAGTGACGTCACCATGTTCCCAGATCTTATCTATTAACGGGCTCTATGTTGTTGTGGCTGATAGAAATGAAGGAGAAAACTACAACAATAAGAGTACAAGTTGTCAGGAAACAGTGATTTTTAGATGTATTTTTCCTCCAGTGTTGACAGGAAACTGCTGCTGAGGTTTGTCCACAGCTGTGCTGCCTCTCACGCCCAGCAGGGGGCAGCAGTCCACCTCCTCAGGACCATGCAGCACAGGCTGGATCTGTCCTGCTCCTCCTGTGTTGAGTTGGATCTCAAGGAGACTCTCAGGCTGACTGCTGAGGACTGCAGGGCCGTCTCCACCATCCTGAGACGCAGCAGCCAGAAAGCGGAGCTCATCCTGCAGGACTGTGAGGTGGACAGCGGACTGGACCTGCTGTTTCCTGTCCTAGACAGAGTCCTCCTCAGGTGGGAAAGACCACAGAATAACCAGAGAAGAAGCTTGTTTCCATGCTTCTTCATCCCAACAGTCTGCTCTGTTTCTCCTGTTTAGAGCCAGTAAAGCCGTCGTCCTCCAGCTGCTGTCCCTGGTTCCTGTGAACAGTGAGTGGGACACAGTGAGACGGGCAGTGTCCCTCTTTGGAGCCCTGGGTGGAGAGCTGGACCTCAGTCACACCACACTGGATCAGAGGGCCTGTGGAGCTTTGTCCCTGATGCTGGAGTTCTCTGAGGGCCTGACTGAGCTGGACCTCAGTCACTGTCAGCTCACGGACCAGCTGCTGCTCAAACTCAGCACACATCTGCACAAAGTACAAGTCCTGGAGTGAGTGTCCATCTGTAATGTGTTCATGTGACAGAAATCTATGTGACGCAGGTAATCATTCAGAACAGATTTATTAGAGCAACAGCTGGAGTCATGTCAGCTCAAAGATAAACCTGAATCTGGAGCTGCTGCAGCCTAAATATTTAAATTGCAGGCTGCATCTTATTTTGAGTTTTATAAACTTAGTTCAGGAAAAGGTACCATGCCCGAACACAGCTCATTTCCTCCACACAAGGTATTTAAGCACAACGAACCTGTTCACTTCCTCTTCCGAGGCTCGAAATCGGACACAATAATAAAATTCATCGGATTTGCTTCAAACTTGGCACACTGAGAGGGCTATTGCCATAAATGCTTTCTCTAGAGTTTCAGCCTCCTAGCCTAGAGCATTGCGCAGTTATTTCTGCAATTTGGGCCAGTAACCTTTTTGGTAACTGGGTGCTATGATTATCTAGGGCCAAACAGGAAAATGGCCAAATGGGTTAGGACATTTGCCCTACATGGCCAGCCCGTATAAGTATACACAAAATGTCAGTATCTTTATGAATCAAAATATTACATTTGGACTAACATTTTATTGGATGGCCATGTAGTCCAAATGTCCTCACCGAAATGTCGGAAGGTGTCCCAAATGACAGCGGGACATTTGGGATGTATTATCCCATTTGTCCGGGAGACATGCACTGACTGTTACCCGAGGAATGAGACTCGAGATCGGATACAATATAGGCCAGCCTAACCCTACATCCCTTCATCCCTCAACCCTACACCTACGTCCCTTCATCCCTCGACCCCTACCCTACATCCCTTTATCCCTCGACCCCTACCCTACATCCCTTCATCCCTCGACCCCTACCCTACATCCCTTTATCACTCGACCCCTACCCTACATCCCTTTATCCCTCAACCCCTACCGCTTCAGAAAACTAACAATCATTCCATTCCGCAATAAACCTCTTGAAAATCATATTGTTATTGCCGTGGTCCTTGTTAGTGAAACATTCTTCATTTCAAGCGGGTAGTTGTCATTTATTTTCACTGTGAATTCCCTCAGAAAACAGCAGACGGTAAGCTATAAACACAGAGAACTCATAATAATCCTGCTAACACAACAGAATGTATTCACATCATCAAGAGGAAATGAGTTTGGTGGTTTGTTTGAAGTCAAAATGTCCTGAGGTCTTTGACGGAGCTCACGATGCACACAACGCTGTATACACTTTGAATCTTATGTGAGTGGACGGTCAGTTACTGCAGTGTCAGAAAACTTCCATAAATGATGAAGACATACAAGTGGACATAACGTGAACAGCCTCCACATATACAGTAAAGTCACAAATGCTCCTCTGTGTTCCAGTCCGAGTCACAACAACTGATCACTGATGCTTCCACTGACAACTTACTCCAGCTGGTCTCCATCAACCCCTCCATGGACACTGCGGTGAGCACCGGGCATTAATCCATTAATCCACACAGCTGTTCTCACAGATCAGTGAACCCTGTTCCATCATATTCTTCTGTCTCTCTCTCTCTCGCTCTCTGTCTCTCTAGACTCTTCAGGAACATCGTGGACAGAACATCCTTTAAGAAAGACAAGCAGTTTGAAATCTGATGAAGCTGTCGTCAGTGTGGCGGTAAAGTGCTGATGTCTTCTGTCTGCTGATGGTTAGATGATAATATTAGTGTAGTGCAAGTACTAACACTGTGTTTACAGTAGTCAGCTGGTGTGATGATAATTATGGAGGAACTACAGATTATTCTTTAAGCTGCTCATATTTATGATGAACACCCTGTGAGATTCATAAAATAGTTCTGTTGGGATAACAAGTAGAGGCCATAACTGTTCTATCAATATCATGAGTCGGTATCATTTATGTATTGTGTAATAATGGGATGATGTTCTAGTTCATTTAAGGCTGAGAAAACTTTAATCATCTCAAAGTAATGATGCAATAACAAACAACAATGTAAATATGAGGATTGTTTTTGGTTGATCTTTTAAAGAGAGATAATGGTCATTGTCTCTGTTCGTTCTCTTTTCCTCATTAAAATACTTCATTTACTGTAAACTGCAGTAGTTCTGGCTGCAGAGAAGTGAACATCTGTGTTCACCAGGTACCAGCTGACTGAGTCTGTACTTTATGAAAATACAATATCTTGAAATGTACAGTTGTAAATACACTCAATAAATACTTGAGATATTTATGTATGATTTCTCTTTATTACACTCATGTTATGGAGTATTAAAAAAACAATAAATCAGCGTTTAAAACAGAAAGCTACTGGTTTATATTTGAAGCATTTCAGTAAAAAGGTCAAAGGTATTTCTGTTAGTAGATATTATAAATGATCATCTTTTATTCAGGGAACAGTTATGAAATACAACATTTAAAGTTCAAAGTTCGAAGTTTGCTTTATTGTAAATTCCACAATATGTACCGAACATACAGAGGAGTTGAAAAGACGTTTCTCTCCAGTCCCACATATAAACATATAAACATATAAAGTGAATACAGTGCAATAGATAAAAAAAACATTTAGACAACATATATATAATAAGAAAAAAACTATCAATCTGTTCATGTCTTCATGTGTTTATGTGTTTGTTCATGCGTTCATGTGT